ACCACGCTCTACAACAAAAGCTTTACACAGCCCTGTGAAAGATCCTCAAGCCCCAAGCGTCCTGAAACTAAACCCTAATCCCTAAACCCTAAACCCTAAACTCTAAACCCTAAACCCTAAGCTCTAAGCCCAAAGCCCAAAACCGCAAAACTCTCCCAGGACCTTCCATGGCGTCGCGACCTTCGGCCGGCGCTCCGGTTGGTGGCCGCGGCCTCGGAGGTTTAGAGCTTTGCTTTTTTTGCGACTTCAAGAACGTAACTTAGGGTTTAGGTCAGGGTTTAGGGGTCGGGTTTTGTAGAGTTTGGTGAGCTTTTGGGAAGGTTTTTGTCGGGTTTAGGTTTTGGGGTCTGGGGTTTTGGAAGGAAGGGTGGTGTAGCGGCTTGAGTCGTCTAAGGTCTTCTGATGGGGTTCGCGCAAGGTTTTATAGGGGCTTCTGTGAGGGTGTGCCACGGTTTTATGTGGTCTCGTGCTCATTATCTACTTTGTCTTCCTCTTACCCTAAACCCAAAGCCCTAAACAATAATTGAGGATTGTGAGCGGGGGAACTCTGTCTGAGGCTGCCATAATTACCCCATTCCCAAAGGCTCCATGTACCTTTATAGTAAATACTTAAGCCCTGAAGTACATATATAGGGACCCCTTTAAGGCTTAAGTAACTACTATAAAGGTACGTGGAGCCTTTGGGATTGTTTGGTAGGATCAAAGTGGGTTGTGGTCCGACGGAAACGTATAGCAGTGTCTCTTGTCACCGAGAACTCGTGTCCGACGTCCTCTACAGTCCATTACCTGCGATCCTTTATGAAAGCCTACACCCTGAGCCCTAAGCCCTAAACCTATCTAATCCCTGAGCCCTAAATCCATCTAAACCCTAAACCCCTAAAGCCCTAAGCCCAGGTATTTGTACTGCTTCTTCATCACCCCCGCTGTCTCCTACCGCGTGGCTGGAGTTCAGGCAGGTCCGTCGGATTTTGTAATTTCGGGCGTTTAGGGTTTAGGGGTTAGGGCTTACAGGGTTTAGGGTTTAGGGTTAAGGGGTTTAGGGTTTATAGGGCTTTAGGGGTTTTAGGGTTTAGGGTTTATAGGGTCTTAGGGCTTTAGGGTTTTTTCGGTTGTAGGGGTTAGGGAGTTAGGGGACAGGCTGTCAAATTCCGGAGGGTTGCGCAGAAGGCACCCTGATGTACAAACCCCCACTCACTGACTGTAGGGTAAGTATATGGGTAGTTGTCAAAATTATGGTCCCTTTTGGGGTACCCTAATAATAGGTGCCGTAAAAAATAAGGACCCAAAAAGGGGCCATAATTTTGACAACCACCCATATCATGGAGACGCTGGTCTAATTTCAAGGTTCCCAGCTTAACGGGGCTTAGCAATCAGGAGTCTACGTTGAGGAACCCGAAACCCTGCATACCGAATTCCCCAACCCCTAGCGCCCTAGAGCAATACTTCTTCAATTTCAGCATAGTACCCCGAAGGGTAAACTGGTAAACCCTAAATCCTGCAACTGCTAAACCCCTAAGCCCCACGTCCCTTTTAGAGCCCTTCGGAACAGCCAACCCTAAACCCATAAACCCTACACCCTCAACCCTTTTCGAAACTCCTAGGCTTCTAAGCTCCGAAATCTCAGATGAGCTTGGATGACATCGAGCATGGCATCCTCCGTGCCAAGAAGGGGTACTTCGAGGCACCGGAGAGGGGGTTTCCATTTTTTGTAAAGAGGCAGCTAGGGTGGGGGGTTTAGGATTTCGACACAAGGGATAGGTGCTGTTCTGAGGGAGTATCCTGAACCCTAAACCCTAAACCCCCAAAAGCCTACTTCATATGTAAATGGATTGTGGGATAGGTGCTTGTCTCGTCCGTTCGAAGGTCCGCTGGTACTGCTCATGCCTGGAGTGCTGTGATGAACCCAAAGGCTCCATGTACCTTTATAGTAGTTACTTAAGCCTTAAAGAGGTCCCTATATAGGCACTTTAGGAGGGCTTAAGTATCTACTATATAGGTACATGGAGCCTTTGGGGGAGCTGTTGGAATTATTGCGGCAGTTCAGAAGCTTGGGGGAGCCCCACTCTGGGACCCCCACCCACTGAGATATTATAACAGCCCTCGAGAGTCCGTACTATGGATGATGCAAGATTTTGTCCATCCGCTGGACGTCCTTGCGCGCCTGCAGCAGCTACTTTAAGCGTCTGAACCGCCGAAGCAGACGTAGATGAGCCCTAAAAACTCCAGTTGACCCCTAAACCCGAGCCCACCCTGATCCCGTAGACAGAAATTCGACGCCAAGACCCCAAACATGGCATGTTGAGCGGTTTAGGGTTTAGGGTTTAGGGGTTTAGGGTGCCCCGTGCATGGTTACTTCTGTGGTGACTCAGCATGGTCTGCTTCGGGGTTGGGGGTTTGATGTGTTACTCTGGATGGGTGCTCTTGTTCTTTGCTTAAACTAGCTTGCAGAGTTTATATTCTTACTGATTTACCCCAATGAATCTACTGGGCCGACAGTCCCTAAGCCCAGAAACCCACCGGAAGCATAAAAACCTGGATTGAATCCCTTACTAGCTGAATGAGCACACTTTACTGTTTTTGGCAGAATACCTTCATAGAACTGACCATGTAGACTTTTTGGGCTTATGAACTCAGCAACTAAGATCCAAAACTTACAGCCAGAGGCACAGTTAGCACCAACTGCCTCTATACCCAGCCCTGGCTGCATGCCATGGCGTCAAGAGATGCGACTGCCACAGTGCAGCTGCTGGGATGGTCTACTGTAAGCTAAGGTTTTTGATACAACGGAACATGGATACGATGATTCGGTCTAGGATTCTTCCTCTCTGACATGAACATAGGCCCTAAACCCTGAACTTTTCCGGTTCTACTTTCTGTAACTTGGACTTTTGTACTTCAGTGGCTTGGGCTTAGAGTTTGTTCAGGTTAATGAGGTCTCTGGCTGTAGTGGTTTACACAATCCAAGATACCTCTTAATGACGCATCAGATTTTGGATCATACCGAGGTCGTTGGACTTGCCGTGGCATGTCGTAGCAGCCGAAAGCCCAAAAATGTTGCGTTTTTGGCCTGAACCCAACTCTGACCTAGAAGCCAACATATTCGATTTTGGGGTTTTGGGCTGAGGGTTCAGGCCAACACATTTGGTGGTTGTCAAAATTATGGTACCTTTTTGGGTCCTTTTTTTTTATTACGGCACCTATTATTTAGGGCCGATTTGACAGTCCTTTTCCTCAGGTTCCTCTACAATGGTTCAGTTTTTAGGGTTTAACCTCGGTAGGGTTTAGGGTTTAGGGTTTAGGGTTTAGGGTTTAGGTCCTGATTCCGAAAACCGTTTACTAAACGGTTTAGGGTTTAGGGAGTTTACTCTACACCACCAACCCTCACTCTCAAACCTGATTCCCTCTTCAAGCCTGGACGCTAAACCTACCACCCTACCTAGACTCTTCTTCCACACCTGTTGTATAGGGGCCTTATTTAGAATAGGATTTTGGTGATATTCTACTCTAACTAGAATAAGGAACTCCCAAAAATAGTATAGGCAATTATTGAGGCCTCTAAAGTAAGCACGCACGATTGACCGATTGACGACATATAAAACGTAAAGGCCTTTATCGAGGCAGCCGGGAATGTCCCGCTCGCGCGGATCCTTAACCTTGATTCCCGAAGCTCTACCTGGGACTCTGATTACCTACAGTTTTATGGGTTCTAAGTCTACCCTAAGGCTCTAAGGACTCATATCTTAAGGCTTTTGGGCCCAAAGACCACACTGAGTAAGGCTTTTGGGCGATTTTGAGCCTCAGGGGTAGGTAAAGAGAGTTACAGGTAAGATCGAAAGCCCCGAAGGTTCACGCATGTCACACACCGTCTCCCTACCTCGGTCACCTAAAAAATTGTATCATACACCATCCTGAAGATCTCTCTATAAAGTGATAGCCGTCGATATAACTGAGACACATCTCTATATATGGAGCTATATGCAGGCAACCATATATTCATGTAGTATGTACATATACACACACATGTAGATATGTGTGTTCCCTTCTTTTTCCTTTTGTAACTTATATGTTTATGTACCCCAAAGCCCACTTCCAATTATTCAGGCCCTTATGAGACTTCATGAAGCGTTGTTCGAACCCACTTCTCATCGATAAGTCCCTGCCATTACTGTAGAATAAAGTCCCTTCAAGACCCGTTGTCCAGGCCTTTTAACTTCAAAGGAACCCTAAAGAAGAATCCAAGGAAGAAGAAGACCCTTATTTCCCAGCTCCCAAGGATGAGACCAGGTTGGCAGCAGCAAGTCGATCTGATTCTCTGGATCCCCGGGCGAAGTCGAGAATCGAATTTTCGGGGGATCAGAAGAGGGTTCCTTTCAGGGTTTAGGGTTTAGGGTTTAGGGTTTAGGGTTTAGGGGCTTCATGAGGTTGTAGATAAAACGGGGTGTTTGAAGAAGGCATCCATTATTGTGAAGATTTGCTTTGGAGGATGCACCGCGCCTCCCTAAAGCCCTAAAAAACCTAAACCCTAAACCCTCACTGTTTTGGGTTGGGAGTGTAGGGTTTCAGGGTGGGCTGCGTGGATCGGATACGGGAGTTTCCGAAAGGAAGGGGTACCTTATTTTGGGGTCCTCACAATAAGGACCCTATTATTTGGGGTACTATATTATTGTCCCCTATTTTCGGAAACTCTCATAACGGTTCAATGTATACCCCTGCTAAAGCGGCCCTTGTTTCCTATATTTAGGGTTTAGGGTTGGTAGGGGGTTTTTAGGGTTGTAACTGGGATCCGAATTCTAGGGCCTTGAAGGCCAGTGGGTTCATGAATCAGGGTCGAGTTTGTAGGCTGATTCTGGGTTCTTCTTGTTGATCTCCGGCCTGATGGGGCTTCGAGATCCAACCAACAAATCCGAAATCCCCGCGAGTTAGGGTTGAACATCCAGGTCTAAACTCGCAATTCGGACTCACAAACCTATTGTTTTGAGGCTCAGCCCATACAATTCATGTCAAGCACGCTGATGACTAGCGGGCTTCTGGGGGGGGGGCAGAGCAATCCCGAAACAGCCCAGGAATCCATGCGGCTACCGGCCGGAGCAGTATGTCGTGTCGGAGACGGTGGGAACAGATAAATACAGAGGTCGCAAGATTTCGCCTATCACTGGGTCCTTGTTGGCTACAAGTTTACATTTTTGTTATCACAAATGCCCAAAAAAGATTAAGAATGATCATTTTTAATATAGCCCCAACTGGGAACGGGATAATACTATTCCCCACTACACCCCAAAGCCCTAGTCTAGTTATGACATATGCCCGTCGTTGTGTCACATCAGGGTTCATGCTTTCATGGCTCTTACCAGCGTGTTTCGAGCAGGTTTATATCATGTAGAGGTATGTGTAAAGTGCTGTTCTAGAACCCTTTTCTTCCAACATCCCTTAGTTCCGGACTAACCTTCAATTTTGGTAGGACCCCTAGTAGGATCGAAGGTATATTCCTTACGCAAAGGATTTGGAAGATCTAAGTAGTTCAGAGATGTTTGACAGGGCTGGCAGTTGCAAGAGTTGTGGGATCCCTCCTTGAGATTGCAGGGACCCGGCTTAGAGTTCACAGTGCAAGACACGAGCGTGACATGGAGCAGCAACTTTTCTGAGACTGTACCAGCCAACAACATCTTTCTCCAACCCAGACCGAACCCGAAAGCCTACACGCCACTCCAAGAAAGGCTGCTATAAGGCTTCTATAATCCATAAGGTACATAGACCTTCTATAAGGCTCCTATAACGGTAACAGCCCACCTGAAAATATCCCAGAAAAAGTAGTATGCCTAACGCTTTGCGCCCTAAACCCGGAACCCCAAAGCCTTAAAGCCTATAAACCCCAACGTTGCAGGTGGGTCCCAACGATGACTTCCGGATGCGCCTGGTGATCTATCCCAGGGGCCGATATCATTACAAGGAGAGGGGCAGCCTGGAAGGTTTCCTGCGGGATTCTGTCAGGCAGAGTTTAGGGTTTAAGGTTTATAAAGGGTTTATAGGATTTAGGGCCTTGGAAAGAATCTAGATGGTTTCACAGGCGATGTAAAGGAGTTTCACAACAATGGGGTCATGTTGGATCTACAAAACAAGGCCCTAAACCCTAAACCGTGGCAGGTTGTGGATGTGCAAGACATGACATTTTACATGTATGGGGTTGTAGGGCTTCAGGGTTTAGGGCTTTAGGGTTCTAGGGTTTTAGGGTT